GCATTAAGCTCCTACATAAAAATCTCACCAATTGGATGAATCCTTTAGAGCATAGTAAGGTGGAGATAGGCATATTATATAGTGCATTAAGTAGCATAGCCAATGGACCAACAGAAGGGTCTAAAACAGGTGACATTATGTCGGCCATAAATGTTACCACCCTGACCATGCGGGCTGATTCCATGGTGCCTGTTGGAGCGAGAACAAACACTAGGAATGCAACTCACTTTAAAGCATCACCACATTGCATTCTGGATTTTTCATTCCCACCCACCTTTACTGCCTGTCAAGCAAAAACCTGGGATGAAAAACAAATTGCATGGGGGTTTTCTTTATCCATGGGAAGATATATCTATAATCATACCAATGAAAATTCTACAACAGGGACAGGGTGGTCCTGGTACCAATGGTTGCTTTCCAATGAGGTGGGAGTTGTGGAAGATGTTTCTGCCTTAGCAACTCCTGCCAATTACAATACAGTTGCTCAAGGTCTCAGGTGTTCTTAGTGAGCAGCATGGGCGAGGAAGGCGTCTTCATATTAGTCAAGTAGAAGAGTTGCATAATCATACTCTTCCGGGGGCCGCAGTCTGCCTACCCTCCCCATTCATTTTTTTACTTACCAATGCTACTGGTAAAGAGAAAAAGCTTGATTGTAGAAACGCCTCAGTGGAGTGCTTTTTGTCTGAATGTTGGAATGGGACATGGAATCTAGCTGTGGTGCTGAAGGTTCCTACATTTGTGCCCCTTCCTGTAAGAGCTGACCCTGAACAGTTCCCCATTATTGCACTCCTACGCAGGCGACGTGATTTTGGGATCACTGCTGCCATAGTCACTGTCATTGTAGTATCAATGGCAGCCACTGCTGCAGCGGGAGTAGCGATGGCTCAGCAGATACAAACAGCTGATGTCCTTAATGAAGTTGTTACTAAAACCGCAGATGTTCTGGATACACAGACACAGATTAACAAGCATATGTTGTCAGGCATAGTGGCTGCCAATCAGAGGATTGATTTTTTACAAACCCAAACAGATGAATTGGCCAGCTTAATTCAAGTTGGTTGTGTGTCATATCAGAAACATCTTTGCATTACCTCTGTTGTTTTTAATAACTCCAGGAATGTATCCCAGTAAATCGGACAATACTTGGCAGGAAAGTGGTCGATGGAGATGGAAATGTTACTTCAAGAGCAGCTGTTTCAAATTATCACTTTGAACAGCACCCATGTGCTGCCTCTTACCTTTGAGCAATTTTCTGACGGGCTCTATTCTGCCTTTTCCTTATTTAAGGAATGGGTGAGAGTAGGGATATTTTTGGCATGCTGCCTAGGTGGATGTGCGGTATGTCTGTGATTGGTGTGCTGTCTGCAAGCCCAAATGAGGAGGGACAAGGTCATTGTGGCACAAGCCTTGGCTGCCTTGGAATGTGGATCCTCACCCCATATTTGGCTTTCAGCCCTAAAGAGCTCATAGGCAATATGCTATGCATAGCCTGTGCACCCTCGAGGGACCGGATAGTCCCATTGCACAGAGGAAGGTATGCATAGAGGAGTATGTGTAGATACAGCCCTTGCACTACCAGGGAAGTATTTGTCCCATTGCACAGGAAGGGTGTATCTTGCCTATTCTTTATTCCTTTCCCTCAATTAGTCCACACATCATGAGGTGGGGACCTGATTGGGAAATAGCCCTTGCCTTATTGCTCTTAAAAACAAAAAGGGGGAACTGCAGGGAGCCGCCCAGAGGAAATCGCCATTACAAGATGGCGCCAGTGGTCCTGCAGCTTGGAGGTAAACAAGTCCTTATTTGGCATTGCCGCGTTGGGCTGAGCACCCTTTGCCTGCACATGCGCTATTGAGCCTTGTCCCTGGCCAATCCCGAGGCTCCAGGTATCAGCAGACTGGTATTCACCAATCAGGGCAGTGCCCGAGTCCCTTCACCCTATATAAGCAGATGCCTCTTGGCTTTCGCTCTCTCTCTCTTCCTGCTCTCCCTTCAACCAAGAAGTTCCAATAAAGTGTGATGTGAGAAGAATCCTCGACTCATGGTCGTTCTTCCTTGCTGGTCAAGGGGTTCACCACATATGGTGAGGGGATGCTTTTTTTGATCCAGTCTACTTGGTGTTCTGTATGCTTCTTGTACCTTCATAGAATATCTTTCTTTAGGTTGGGAAAGTTTTCTTCTATAATTATGTTGAATATATTTTCTGTCCCTTTGAGATGTAATTCTTCTCTGTCTTCTAACCCTATTATTCTTAGGTTTGGTCTTTTCATGGTGTCCAAGTTTTCCTGGATGTTTAAAGAATTTGTTGGATCTGTTGTTTTCTTTGATCAATGAGTTTATTTCCTCTATAGTTTCTTCAGCATCTGAGATTCTTTCTTCAATCTCTTGTATTCTGTTGGTTATACTTGTCTCTGTAGTTTCTGTTCATTTTTTCAGATTTTCCATATCCTGGCATCTCTCAGTTTGTATTTTCTTCATTGCCTCCAATTCATTTTTCAAGTCTTGAACCGTTTCCTTTACCTGTTTGAATGCTCTTTCTTGGTTTTCTTGGGTATCTTTGAGAGATTTATTCATTTCTTCTACCTTTTTGTTAGTCTTCTCTATTTCTTTATAGGAGTTTTTCACATCCTGTTTAATGTTCTCTATTATTTTCGTAATGTTATGTTTAAAGTCTATTTTTTCTACTTCTTCAGGAATATGGTGTTCAAGTCTTCTTGTTGTGTGATTTCTGGATTCTGGTGTTGTCATGCTGCCTTCAGGTTGTTGGAGAAATTCTTGAATTAGTGCCTGCCCATCTCTCCCTTCAATGCAGCCAGGAGTGTCTTGGCATCTTGGTCCAATCTTTCTGTGACTGACTGTGTACTTGGGGAATTTTCTTGGTCTGTCCTCTCTTAGGGCCCCTTGGCACCGGAGCCAGTCATGCTTGTGGACCTAAGGATCCTGCAGATGGAAAGGAGTGACCTCTGGCTGGATCTTCTCAGTGCAGAACCAGGATCTGTTCACGTGCCAAGGACCTCGCAGACAACAGGGCAGGCTTTGGGGAGGCAGGGTCTTGTGGAACAAAGAAGTCCCTGCAGCAGGACCTGGAGAGTTCCTTTATTCCCTTCTGGACCGTCTGCCCTGGGGTGGGGGGCACACACTCAACCCTCTGGGTGGATCTCCTTAGCACAGGAACAGGGACTCCTGGTAGTCCAAGAACCCCACAGACAAAAGGGCAAACTTGGTGGTGACAGGGTCGTGTGAAACAAAGAAGCCCCTGCAGCTGGAGCTGGAGGTGCCCTGCACTCCCTTACAGGGATCTTCCAGCTGGGTGGGCACACACTCATCCTTCTGGGTGGGTCACCTCAGTGGAGAAGCAGGAACTGTTCCTGGGCCAAGGACCTCACAGACAATAGGGCAGGCTTGGGGGAGGCAGGGTCGTGTGGAACAAAGAAGCCCCTGAAGCAGGAGTTGAAGGGGCCCTGTACTCCATTCCTGGACCATCCACCCCAGGGCTGGCACACACTCACCTGCCTGGATGGATCTCCTCAGTGCAGGAAAAGGGACTTCTAGCAGTCCAAGGACCACACAGACAAAAGACTGTTTTTGAATTTTTTGACTGTGAAAGAGCTAAGTAGAGAGAGACATTTCATTGTATAGACTGCTATGTTAAATGGACATAAAGGTATCTTGATCCCAAAATTAGAGTCTAAGGATATGTTACTTTGTGAAAGAGGTTGTTCTTTTGTTTTCATAGAAGCTGAGAACCTGTGGATTGTTTCCAGACCAATATGGTTTGATGGAACAAAATCCCCTGAAAGGCTGCTATAAACAATGCCAAAAATAAAGTACTTTGTCCAATAAACAGCTGGAAGCATCTTGGAGAAAAACTATACCCATATTCCCAAATATTGCTTATAGACACTTCTTTACAGTTAAAGGGGTATATGCTATAGAGATTTGCATTAGTATGGATCTTGGTTTATTGATACAAATTTAAGATCAATTTTGTTATATGTATATTTCTGCTCTTGATTAAGGTGTTTGGTTGTGCAATTCATTTAAAATGTATAATTAAGAAACATGGGTTAATAGATAGCCATCTATAATAGTCAAGCTTGTAGTCATGTTAGTCAGGTTTTCTAGAGTATTCTTCAAATCTTTCAAAGACCCTCAGAATATGGCATTTAAATGTTTTAAGAAATTTGGACATTTCATGACAGTGAGACACATCTGGTCCTGGCAGCACCAGTCTACATCAAGAGGCTGATGGGCATAAAAGAGGCTACTTATGAAGTTTGTCAGCCATTTGGTCAAGAAACTGCTCTTTCCTGGACTGCTTAACTGGACAAGCAGGACCCACAGAGAATTGACTGAAGAATTTGCCTAAAGGTGAGAAAGGGCTTTCAGGATTCCTGCTTCATGAAAGAGTAAGCGAGACATTTTGCAGTGCCGCGCCAGCATGGCAACTGTAGTTCTCTGAGCAAGGGACGTCGGGATTAACGCACAACACAACTTCAGGTTCTGCAGACAAGCCTTTATTCTACTTTCTCAAACAGTATATATAGCCCTCAGCAGGAAAGGATGAGCCAGCAAAAGCAGGAAGCTCATCACTATAACTCACATGGCTTAGAGGTAAACATCCTTAAAAACACTGCTGAAAACAACAGATTGTTCCTGTTTTGGGGACAACCAACCACAAGAGTGCAAAACAGATCAAGTGGGGATGCGAAGATTTGTCATCAAGGGACCCAACATTGCAGGACACAGAAGAAACTGACTGACAAACTGCGAATATGGGCAGAACTGTCTTTAAAATTTTCTGCTTCGTGGAAAAGTCAGTTTGATACTATGGGCCTGTAGGCTGAGGATGGATCCTCCAATGGTACAGAGGATCTTTGGGTGACTGTCCAGGTGGTGAGATGTCTCTGTTAATTCTAGAGTTTTGAAAGATGTTTACAATGAACTTATTGTTTTATTAGGTCACATTTTATCCTTCTGGAGTCTTTTTTTTTTTTCGCTGTAAAATAATTTATTGAGATCCCTCCCTCAAAGCCTTTGCAATCTCGAGGTCACTTTTTCCGCTTGTAGATCTTCTTTGCTAGTTCCAGGAAGATGGCTGGGGGTAGCGGCGCTGAGTACTGCTCCACGAGGCTCTTGAGGCGGCTGTAGCTGTCTTCCTCGTACTTTAAGAACACAGCTGGCAGATCCAGCGCTTCATACAGCGCTTTCACCCGTGCCACCTTCTCTGGGTCCTTCTGCCCATAATTCTCCTCTAAGATCTGCTGCTGTTGTGGAGTGGCTCGCAGCAGACACTGAACCACCAGCCAGCTGCACTTGTTGTCCTGAATGTCGGTGCCGACCTTTCCAGTCACACTGGGGTCCCCAAAGAGATCAAGGTAGTCATCCTGGATCTGAAAGAACTCGCCCATCTCCAGCAGGATCTTCATGGCATTAGCATGTTCCTTCTCCCCATCAATGCCCGCCATGTACATGGTGGCTGCGACAGGCAGGTAGAAAGAATAGAAAGCTGTCTTGTACTTGACAATAGATTTATACCTCTTTTCAGTGTATCTATCAAGATCCACATGGCCCTGGGGTGCTGTCATGAGGTCAAGGGTCTGCCCAATCTCTGTTTGATAGGAGCTCTGCAGGAAGAGCTCCAGCAGGTTCAGGTAGTAGGGCTGCTCCCTGCAGTACAACTTCAGCAGGCGGTAGATGCAGGCTTCCAGAAGCAGAGCGTCATTGACTGCATCCAAGCCTATGCCTGGCTTCTGGTACCAGCAGATCTGTCCTCGGCGAGTGAGAGAAGAATCCATGATGTCATCTGACACAAGAAGGAAAGCCTGGAGCAGCTCTACACACCAGCCCACAGTCAGGGCCCGCTGAAGACTCTCGGCATCCTGTTTCCTTGGCTCCACCAGCTCCCGGAAGGCTTGGAGCACAGTCAAACCCCGATTGTACTTGCCTCCCACGGCATTGTACTCTAGGACCTCCTTGAGCCGGGTAATGGCATCGCCTGTCTCCGGATGACCTAGCTCGTCCTCAGTCAGCACCTTGACAATCTGGGAGAAGTGTTGGATGAAATCCTGCCTGTCTTGGTTACAAGCCTCCAATTTCGGGTTCCCATTCATTCTGAGAGAGGAACAAAATGCTCTGCTCCTTAACGCGACTTCTCCCGGGTCCCCTTCTGGAGTCTTTGATGGAGTCAAAGAATCTATAGCTATTGTTACAGATTTCCTTAGTTATGATAAAGGATAAAGTAGATACAAATATTGTAACTGTAATTCTTGTTTGATAACTGTTTTATTACATGTAATTTTAATACCTTAAAGTAAAACCTCCCTTTTTATTTAAACAAAAAGGGGGAGGTGATGTGGAAGTCCCCTCTGTGTGCTGTGATAACCATTAATGAATAAAGAAACTGCCTTGGTCTGTCAATAGAGCAGAGCTTAGGTAGGTGGGGAAAACTGGACTGAATGGTGGGAGAAGGAAAGCGGCGAGGGAGATGCTATGGAGTCACGCTAGAGTTGGACATGCCCAAACTTTGCCAGTAAGTCAGTAACATGTGGCAATATACAGATTAATAGAAATGGTTTAAATTAAAATGTAAGAGTTAGCCATTAAGAAGTTAGAGCTAATGGGCCAAGTAGGGTTTTACATATATAGATCCTCCTGGAAACTGGAAGTACACAAGACTGCCAGGCAAAAGTTGGGAACATAGGAGTGGGGGTAGGGTGAGGGAAAGGGAAGAGGGAGAGAGAAAAAGGAGAAGGGGAGGGTTGGGGAGAGCTTGGGGGAGTAGGGTGGTTGAAATGGAGAAAGGACAGATATAGGAGCAGGAAAGAAGATATCTTAATTAAGGAAGCCTTTTGGGGGTTGTTAAGAGGCTTAGCTCTAGAGGTCTTCCCAGGTTTCCATGGGGATGTCCCCAGCTTGGACCCTGGCCAGTGGAGGAGAGGGTGCCTGAACTGGTCTTGTTCCATATTCAGACTGATGACTATCTTGAATATCACCACAAAACCTTCATCCGGCAATGAATGGAGAAAGAAACAGAGACCTACATCGGAGCACTAGACTGAGCTCCCAAGGTCTAGTTGAAGAACAGAAGGAGGGAGAATATGAGCAAGGAAGTCAGGACCATGAGGGATCGGTCTACCCACTGAGACAGGGTACCCTGCCCTCTCTTAGGACTGGAGAGGTAGAGGGAGAGGTTGAGTGGGGGAACAGAAGGGAAATGAGAGAAGGGGAGAAAGTGGAAATTTTGAATAGTATTATTTATAAAGCAATAAAAAAATAAATTAGAAGCAACTTAGTACAGTTTCTGTGTGATTATTTCAGGTCTAAACTAGCAGGGTGGCCAGGATAAATAAACAGCCTCTTTCCCTCCCAACACTCACAATTATTGTGTCACACGATGTTAGAGAAGAAAAAAATCTGATCAATTTGGGTTCAGAAAATTGCATTATATGTGTAGAACACCAAGCAAATTTAAGAATCCACGTCCCCCAAAAAATCATTTCAAAATATAACAATGGCCATAACATAAATGCTGAAATGGAAACTAGTAACAGGAAAACAGAAGAAATGGTGACCCAGGCATAGGCAAGGACAGCTCAGGAAGTTAGACTAAAACTGACAAACAGAATGACTTGAAATTTTAAAAGTGCAGAAAGGAAAAACAACGTCAAAGTGAACAGAAGGCTGATAGAATGAGAAACACTCTCTGTCACTTATTCAACTGTCCAGGGATTAATTTCAGAGCACGGAAAGACATCAACAATACATTGTTCCCACCTCTCTGCCAGGATGTCCCTTGAGCCTTGGAGAGTATGAAATGTGTACCACATTGAGGGCTGAATGGTCCGTCATCATGTCTCAGTACTTTGGCCAGGTATAGATTCTGTATTAACCACTACCTACTGTTGCAAACAGTTCTCTGAGGAAGGCTCAGTATGATACTATTTATGGCATAGACATGAATATTTAGAACATAGTTTGACAACACAACGATTTAGAAAAACAATAGCAGACACCATA